GACACCATAGAAACAATCAAATTCTAATTAAACAACATAGAGAAGTGAATAGAAAAAATAGTTTTGGTAGATCTTCAATCTCCTTTGAGATGTTGTTCTTAATTTCTCCTTGATTTCTTAAGATTGTCCGGTTGAATTCCCTTTACAAAAGTGTCCTCTTAATTGGTATTTATATCATCTTGAAGTCTGGAGAAAATTTTCAACCTTACATCGGAGTATGTTAATGTAAAATGGAACAAATGCAGCTAGATCCATTGGAAGAATTAGTATTCGTGTTGTTCTCTCCTTTGATTACCAAATTATGCATCTGAACTCGTAGAGTCATCTTCCACCTTTCAAACACAATCTCATACATAAGATGTACTAAAGCTTTCTCTTATGAATCAAAACTCGTTGAAATGCCACATGCCACATTGATACTTCTTGATAAATGTGATGATTGAAAGTGCAAGGAAGATTTTTCGTGTCAACGAAATCAAGACTGTTAAATGTAGAAATGAACCTAGAACTAAGGAAATCTCGAAGTGTGTAATATTTGGTCAACTATAAAGTGTTGTAAAAATTAGAAGTTTTTGTTAAAAGACAAGGGAAAGGAGCTTTAGTATCCTGAACTGATTACCACAACGAATTGACATGGGAACCAACATAACTGTGCAGAAGAAAAAGAAAAAAAAAGTAAGAAAAGGAAAATAAGACGCACGAGGAGTGAACCGGAATTGCAATTTCCTCCTGGCCAAAAAATAGTTTCCGGAATCCTTCAGAGCTGGGATTCATGACTCCAGCAACTGGAGATTCCCTCCCTGCATAATCAACAAGGTCAAGAAATAATGATTAACAACCCAAAACCATAAAAAATTGAATCATCTAAGTAACTCTCGGTTAAATTGCTCTTATACATACCACAAAGGAAGTCAAAATCAAGCATCCGTTAGATAGGCAGTTGCTTGTAATTGTAAAATAGTGGTTGTGGGGCCGGCCCTGAAATTTTGGACGTCAAATGCGACATTTTAAAATATTGCCCATTTAATGAAATTAAAAAAAATATTTCATTAATATTATATCATCGCAAAATTATGATATTTAAATGTTGTTTATTTTTTTAAATGTCGTGAAGAAGAAAAATATGAGTAATGTTCAAAAGCACCTCACAAACTTCATCAAAATTCGTATGTCATCAACAAGGAACCATTCAAGAAACTAAAGTCTTTGTATAATTTTATATGAGCAAATCTTGAAATTGAAAACATCAAATACAACGTATAAACTTTGAAATACAACAAATCATGTAAAAATATTTCTTCTCGCATTTCTAGAAGCTAATTCACTAATTAAACTTTCGTAATCAATATGTTCTAACAAATCTTGTTCAATGGATATCAAAGTTAGGCCATTCAATCGTTCTTGTAATATGGTTGATTGTAAATAAGATTTTAATAACTTCAATTTTGAAAAACTTCTTTCGGCAGATGTAACAGTAACATGCTAACATTAATTTCTAGTAATACTCTATAAGCAATAAATGTACTTTGAAAGCTATCCAATCTTTTCAAATAAGTCAATATCAAAAACTGTCGCTATTTCTTTTGATAAAAGATTTTGCAAAATTTTTAACTCTTGAAACAAATCTTTGCCATCAAGATTGCAAAAATTTACATGTTTTAAAACAATGTCAAAATGATCACAACATGTTTTCAAATTAGTATCATCCAATACGTTTAACTTGCCAAAAGAAAATAGAAATCCAAATTTTATTTTCATGTGAATTAAATTGATTGAACCTTCATTCAAGTGATCCAATTGGTTATGAAATAATCTTCAAATGATTGTGCGTCATCTACAGTAGCATTTTCATCAAAATATTTTTTTCCTACGAGATATACGTTATCCTTTTTTTCCTTATCCCTCACATAATTTAAAGCATGATATTATTTAAGAAAATTATATTCAAAAAAATTATAATCAGTCAATTCTACGAGTTATACGTTTTCCTTTTTTTCCTTTTCCCTCACATTATTTAAAGCATGATATTATTTAAGAAAATTATATTCAAAAAAATTATAATCAGTCAATTATATTATTCTTAACTTTAATATTTTTATGAAATTGCATATCATATCAAGTCAAATGCCAACAATTAATAAAGAAATAATCCATAAATGAAAATAGATAAGCACAACATACTGATATTAGTTATGAAGGAGCTTAAACCGTCTGAATCATTTTCCTTACCTTAACAAAAATGTCTTGGTATGATATGTAATTAGGAACAAGAAATACAACAATGTTAAATAAAAATCATCATTTGTCTATATT